CGCGGGTCACCTGGGGATAGCCAAAACGATTAGTCGCGTGGCGAAACGATACTACTGGCCGGGGATGTTCCGCGACACAGCCCGCTATGTCCGCGCGTGTCTCAACTGCCTCGCGCACATGGCCGTTCAACGCCGACCTGCCGGACTCATGCGAGCCACAGCCGTCAAGGCCCCCTGGGCACAAGTGGCAATCTACCTTGTCGGACCCCTACCAAGGTCCTCCAGCGGCCATGCATAGCTCCTGCAATATCGCTTCACGAAGTGGGTCGAACTATGCCCGCTACGCCGGGCCACCGCTCCGGCCGTGGTCACCCAGGTCGCCCAACGAATCATCTACCGTCATGGTTGTCCAGAGGTCGTCATCTCCGACAACGGGTGACAATTACGATCAAGATAGCTATCCACCTTGCTGCAAGCATTCGGGATACGACATCGCACCACACCGGTGTACACGCCTTAATGCAACCCGGTCGAACGCGCCAACCGGACAATCAAGACCATGATCGCCCAATATACCGGGCGGAACCAGCGCAGGTGGGACGAGGCGGATCCGGCGATCCAGTTCGCGCTCAACACGGCCATGCAAGAGTCAACCGGGTACACGCCCGCATATTTAAATTACGGGCGAGAACTACGCACACCGTACGACAACCAGCGACCGGGCGCCGCACCGCCACCACCCGAAGTAAACCGGAAAAACCTACAAGAAGTCTTCGAGCTCGTCCGCGTAAACCTCGCCTGGGCATACCAGAAACAGGAACGGTTTTATAACTTGCGCCGACGACCGTGGAGACCGCGAACCGGGGAACAAGTATGGAAACGCGAACACACGCTCTCGAATAAAGCTCGCGCAGTAAACGCAAAGTTGTCACCACGCTACAGCGGCCCATACACGATATGCCAAATTATATCACCGGTAATTGTCGACCTTAGGAATCGTCGCGGTCGTATCATCCCGGATATACACAGCCAGGACCTAAAGATGGTAAACAACCAGGCACCATAGGATACCGAGGGGGGAGAGGAGCCCTAGCCGCCGGATATAAAAATCGCTCTCTCGCGTGTCTCGGGGCACTTTACGAACGACCATGGTCGATCGCAAGAAGAAGCAAGCGCGCCAGCTATGGAGCGATCTATGTTTGTCAAAGGAGGACGAACCACCACAACCGCTACGACCGAGCAAGCCACCGGTCCCAGCCGTCGGAACCCGGATCCAGCGCTCCGACGCCGCCGATCGGACAAAGACAGCCTGGCTGACGCAGCCAATTCCGCCGATGCCAAAGCAGTGAACACCGGCTGCAAGGAACCGGCATTCCTCGGCACCTTCCACCAAGCCGACCACGGAGTAGCCGATTCCGATACCGAGACCAAGCCGCACACCACTACCACTGTAACTCACAGGTCTGCAACCACCACAACACATACAGGTGAAATATGCACCCACACAAACGGCGGCCATTCCGTTCTTTGCGGTGCATGTCGCCCGGCGGTACCGCCTTAACATCGGCAACAAAAGATAGTTGCTCCGATTTACGCGACAGGGGACCCTACGGCGCAGCCAACGTTCGGCGGCGAAGACTCGGGGAGAGTCTGCAAGGGGAGAGGCAACAATACATTCCCCCGGCAAACACCGCGACCGACCGACCATCCGTTGGTCGCAGAAACGGCTCTACGCGCCAACAAAACAAATCCACGCACGAAGTACGCAACCGACACGTGCATACGTCAACAACGTTTGTTATTGTTGTTAAGCACGTGTCGGAAAAACCGCGTTTTTGCTGTATAAAAGACCGCTCCGCCGTGCTATCGGAACTCCGCCGGAGTCAGCCGTGATCGCAAGATCAGAAGCTGATCAGGATCCCATCCCCAGGTCGAGGGACCGC